TGCGGAAGACGTCAAAGCCTACACCGTTGGGCCAGACTTCTGTCATGCAGAGACACGCAAATCTCCCGTGGTCGACGGTCTCGTTCGGCGCAATACCCACGGGAAGGAAGTACGATACATCACGAAACTTGGCAAGGAGGAGGCAATAATCGCATCAAAGATCTCAAATGGATTTGGTCAAAGAATTTGTGGCTTTGACATGCTCCGCGTGGGAGACAAAAGCTATGTCATTGATGTCAACGGCTGGAGCTTCGTCAAGGACAACAATGATTATTATGATAAATGTGCCAACATTCTCAGGGACATTTTCTTGGAAGAAAGACGCAAATGTGAAGGGATATCAGAATCGTCTGAGCCGCCATCGCCGGACGTAGGCTCATCTAGAAGAAGCACGGCAGGATCTCATCGCCAACCCACAAAGACACTGCTGAAGTCTCCTAGCACTTCCAGGCTTTACGGCCCAAACCAGAAACCTACCGAAGTCTCAGAGTCATACACTCCATCATTAACGTCATCTGGGGTAGAGAGTACTGATGTCAGCGCTGCTCTTAGCAAGTTGAATTCTCGGGAAGACTACTCCATTACCCGTGGCTATAGTCCCTCGAACACGAAATCACCGGCTCTTTCAGTACAGCACGCCAATGATGAAGCCCTTCCGCCGCTCCCTGCTTCCAAACACTCTTGGAAGCTGAAGGGCATGGTGGCAGTGATTCGACACGCAGATCGGACCCCGAAGCAAAAGTTCAAATTCACTTTTCACAGTCAACCTTTTGTGAATCTATTGAAAGGGCACCAGGAGGAGATAGTGATCAAGGGCGAAGCTGCATTGGCGAGTGTTTCCGATGCTGTTAAGTTGGCTATGGATAAGGGCCTAGAAGACATGGAGAAGCTCAAGTTGCTCCGCACGTCTTTAGAGAAAAAGGGTGGTTGGCCTGGTACTAAAGTACAGATCAAGCCAATGTTCCGAAAACGAAAGCCAGAGGAAATGGAAGAACAGGGCCGACAGAAACCTTCGACTCCATTGCCTGAGGGCAAACTCTGTGAAGATCCTCCTGCTCCTGTGCCCAATGAGGGAGAGGGACTGACACCGGAGAACGAGGACTTGCGCAGATCACAAACACGGAGTGATTCTATCTCAGATGCGACTTTCTCTCGGTTCTCTGCCGCCGAGAATGACTTGGTCTTGGACAAACTGCAGCTTGTGATCAAGTGGGGCGGCGAGCCTACACATGCCGCGCGTTATCAATCGCAGGATCTTGGACTGAACATGCGGGACGATCTCAAGTTGTTGAACAAGGAGGCGTTGAATAACGTTCGTATATTTACCAGCTCAGAACGTAGAGTGAGCACCAGTGGTGAGTCACTTTCCTTGCCAGGATCTGCATCAAGCTAATAATAGTCTCAAAGCACAAATATGGGCATGCTCATTTTTGGACCAGAAGGATATCCCCGAAGACTTGATACAAGTCCGGAAAGATTTGCTTGACGACTCAAATGCCGCCAAGGATGTCATGGATAAAGTCAAGAAAAAGCTGAAATTGCTTTTGCGAGAAGGGTCTGCGCCTTCACAATTTGCTTGGCCCAAGGACAAAAACATCCCAGAACCTTCGGTTGTCCTTGCTAGAGTTGTTGAACTGATGAAGTTCCACCGGGGTGTCATGCGACACAACTTTGAGAAACTCGACAGTGCACCACGCATCTCCTCGACCCCATCCGATGACCTTGAGACCCCAGGCCAACCCTCTGGTATGTCTAGTATACAGGGCCGTTGGTGCGCAGGTGAAGATCCTCGACTCTTCAAGGAACGGTGGGAAAAGCTCTTTGCAGAGTTCTGCGACACCGAAAAGGTCGACCCGAGCAAGCTTTCCGAGCTTTATGACAGTATGAAATTCGATGCACTCCACAATAGACAGTTTTTGGAATGGGTCTTCATGCCACAAGAAAGCGCCCGTGAGTATGAGGAAGATCAGAAAACCAAGAACGCAGCAAAAACAGACGGGGGCGCGGAGGGGAAACTTGGACAAGAAGCCGGGAACGACAAATCTGAAGAGCGTACCGAAAGCCAGACGTTTGTCCATCGCTTTGGTTTGAAAAAACGCATCTTTGCCCTCGAGTCATTGCCGCACCTTCGGGCACTAGATGATTCATACGATCATTACTTTAAGCTTTTCCCTGGCTCTCAGTCCTCTAAGTGCAAGATGGATGAGCGGCTTTCGAAGCTCCGGGAACTGTACAAGTTAGCCAAGGTTTTGTTCGACTACGTGACGCCTCAGGAATATGGAATCACTGACAGCGAGAAACTCGAGATTGGCCTTCTAACCTCTCTTCCCCTTCTTCAAGAAATTGTTGGGGATCTAGAAGAGGTGCAGGCTTCGCAGGATGCCAAGTCTTTCTTTTACTTCACCAAAGAATCTCATATCTACACCCTCCTGAACTGCATCTTGGAAGGTGGAATTCAAACTAAAATTGCCAGGAGCGCCATCCCGGAGCTTGATTATCTCTCTCAGATTTGTTTTGAGCTGTACGAAGCTCGGGACAGTGAATCGGACTCCTACTCATACTCAATCCGCATCTCAGTCAGCCCTGGTTGCCATGCCTTCGACCCGCTTGACGTGCAACTCGATTCCAGGCACTCCATCGGCTGCACCCCACGCCGAAGCTTGACGGCCCATCAGGATTGGAAGGAGGTGATTGAGACATTGAAGGCGAAATTCGACACGTAAGTTTGTACGCTACCTTACTCTCTGGATTTTTACTGATCACTACATATAGTGTGGAACTACCCAAGACCTTCATTGCAGTAAACCTTAGTGACAAGCATAGCTCGCATGATGAGAACTCACCGTCGCCCTCGCGTGGTATTTCCCCAACTCAGGACTAAGATCGATGTCCCCGGGACGTTGTATTTGTGATGGCTTTTTTGGGTTTTATTTGTGATCGACACATTTGGTTCGGATTCCTTCTTATGTACCCCTGCCTTGTTGAGGTTGTATTATGTATCTAGTAAAACAATGTAGCAAGAAAATATTAGCAATCTCAAATCGGGTGTCCTCTATGTTTCTATGTTTGTGCATTTCAACGCTACTCAACATGCATTGCATATCAGGCCCTCCTTCCAGTCCCAGTACATATAGATCGCCAACCATTTTATGTGAGGTGTCTCGACTATATGTTGACAAAGGCGTCGACTAGTTAAGTAAGATTTTAATATTTTGGTAAGGTGGTAGTCAAGTATGAGTAATTAAAGAGTCAAGTAGTTATTGAGTGAGATTTATGCTACAAAACTACTTATGTATTTACTAGTAAGTAGTACGACATGGATGGGTTTAAAGTCCGGGCAAGCCGTAAACCCCGCCTTGTCGAGGAACTGTTGATTTTTCTCCCACTACACTACATACTCAAGGATGTCTGATCCTTTGGCGGTCGATATTGTTGGCAGCGCCCTGAAATACATATCCCACGCAGGTGTTGAGTGTTTGATTGACTACAATGACATTCTCTGCGTGTTGTCCAATCCGGTAGCCACGTATAGTGTGCTGTTCTTTCAGAAAACCGAACTGGATGGCTCTGAGGACTTCTCATTGAAAAAGATCGAGATCAAGTCCCTGCCTGCAGCACTATCTCCATTTTTGACTAAGATTCCTAGCCATCTTCGACATGAAAATCAACAGCCTATCATCCAGGTTGTGGTATCTACTGGATCAGGAACGGGGAAAGCCAAGACGGTCTTTCAAGATGCTGTACGGCCCCTTCTTACATATATTGGGTTAGAGGATTATGAGCTTCACGAAACAAAATCTGCGCAAACTGTTGTCGAGCTCGCACGATCGAAATTCCTGGAGCGAGCTTACAATGGCGTCCCTCAGACCATCATCCTTCTTTCTGGCGACGGCGGCCTCATCGACCTCCTCGAGATTTTCTACAAATCCAAGAAACCGATTGGTGTATCTCCCAATATTGTGTTAATTCCTTGCGGGACAGGTAATGCTATGGCAAGTTCCATTGGACTACGATCTGGTCCAGTGCCGGGTCTTTCAACTCTACTTCGAGGCAGCCCGTCTTCTATACCGGTCTTTGCAGCCAAATTTTCACCTGGCAGTCGGTTAGTTATCGATGAAGGTCGTCAGCGAGCCGATATCGACACCGATGTTCACCACACATTATACGGGGCCGTTGTTGCGAGCTGGGGGCTCCATGCTGCTTTAGTTGCAGACAGTGATACATCCGAATATCGCAAATTTGGAAGCGACCGTTTCAAGATGGCCGCAAATGAGCTACTCTATCCCTCAGACGGCACTCCGCCTCACCAATTCAAAGGCAAAATCACATTAACCACCTCGAATGGCCCGAACGAGGCAGGTTGCCGACAAGCAGTGGATGGGCTTGAGCACATGTATGCGCTTGCTACACTCGTTCCACGACTTGAGAAGGAGTTTTTGATTTCCCCAGACTCAGTGCCCCTGGATGGAAAGATGAGGTTCATCCGCTTCGGTCCTATGTCGGCAGAAGAAGCGATGCATTTGATGACTTTGGCCTATCAGGGCGGTCGACATGTGATGGAAGATACGGTCACTTATGCCGACACTGAGAAAGTTCGAATCGATTTTCAAGAAGATGAGGAGAGATGGCGACGCGTTTGTATTGATGGAAAGATCGTCGTTGTCGAAAGGGATGGTTGGGTGGAAATTTGTAAAGAATCTAGCCGTTTGCTGAACTTGATCAATTAGGCAGAGATTCACTAAAATAGGATAGAAAATACATAATATATTAGACTAGAATATGACATACAAAGTATGAACAAGGGCCAGTGTATTTATAGAGTTGATCCGTAAAGGGAATGTAATCATGTGTCTTCCGCCATCTCCGAGATTGGACCCTGTAAACCTCGCTCCACCCATCCCAGTGTATGGGATGCGCCAGCAAATGATATTGTCTCGCCAGTCTCTCCTATCTAGCGCACTGTATTTGCGTGACTATAATGGAATTGCCCATCAGATTCGATGCTGATCACTGCACGCACCTATTCAGCCTCCCAGACCCCAGACCAAGGTGCAGCACAACCCTGCAATAACAGGTCGCGATTTCATACCCTCTCCGGCTGGCAAACAAGCCCAGTGGATACAAAGGAAGCAACCGACATGTTGTTAATCCATCAAGTTGGTAGTGTTCGCGTTGGGGAAGTCGTTAGGTGAGTCTGGTCCGGACAGCCCCTCAAGTCCGAAGTCCTTCTGGATCGCTAATAGCAAATCGTCCATCAGATACACGATTACATACACACCGGCGGCCGATCCGATCCTGCCCATTCCTTCAAATCTCTATGTGAAGGTGAAGAACACATCTGCTATCCCATTACGTGCCGCATATCTCCATGGTCCGTACACGCTATACGCCGCCTGCTATCCCTCGCGGTTTGACCCGAATACCAAATATGAGCGACAGGACTTGGAGGGTACGCCTCAGTTTGAGCCCTACCTCAAGGCCGGAGGTGGTTGGGACGCCGTCATCAAGGTGCCGGCTAATCTCCTGAAAGCTCACGACTTCGGCTCTCCGGACCAAGGCGGGCCGGCAAGTGGACAGAGCGTTAGCTGGATTATTGAGATACAATCTCAGGTGATATTCTCGAGTAGCGCAGCGGTGCATTTTGAGCTGCTAGTGGGCCGAGATGAAAAATCGCTGGCTTATTTCTCGGGCGGTACGTGGAGTAGCGGAAATGGCTCGACGGGGCCTCCGGCAAAGCTACAAGACCATTGGCTACCTGGAACTAGAGGGAGTCAGGTGCTTGCCTCGAAAGGCGTGTATTCAAAGGCAATTACTCTTCATGTCGACGATACAACTAGTCTATGGAGCAATCCACCATTCCCGTCGGCGAAGCCGACTTCCGAAAGCGTTAATCGGAAGGGTCAGGGCTCGCAGCCTCTATGTGATAATCCAGCGCCGGAGAACTCTACTGAATCTCCGACGAAAAGCGCCAAGAAGAAGTCGGTTCATCTTGTGTTACTGACACATGGGTTGCACAGTAACCTCGGTGCAGACATGCTCTATTTAAAAGAGAGCATTGACGCAGCCATGAGAAATTCCAAAAAGAAAGACAGTCAATCCAAAGCTCCCCACGTCAGCCCTGTTGGACTTGGACTGGATGATCAAGAAAACTTACATTTTGCCAGCAGTAAAACCAGTCATGTTGAGGAGGAGCAAAATAGCCAGTCTGGTGATAACACCGAAGATGACGACGAAGAGCAAGTCATTGTCCGAGGGTTCTCTGGCAATGTTGTTCGGACTGAGCGTGGGATTCAATACCTCGGTAAACGGCTAGCCAAATATGTCCTACTTCTAACATATCCTGATCAACCCTATTTTCCTCTGAAGGACTCGAAATCGAACCCACTTTCTCGACCGTTTAGTGCTCGTAAGGAGCGAGCTAAACATTCTTCTCATTCGGCTGATTCAACGCCCCAAAAAGATGCCCAAGAATTTCAAAATGAAGACCACGCGTATAAGATTACGAGCATTAGTTTTGTTGGCCACTCTCTGGGTGGGCTAGTCCAAACATATGCAATCGCATATATCCAAAAGCACTCACCTCAGTTCTTTGAACAAATCAGGCCTGTTAACTTCATTGCTCTTGCAACTCCCTTTCTTGGTCTCAGCAATGAGAATCCAATGTATGTTCGATTTGCATTGGATTTAGGCCTAGTCGGTCGCACCGGCCAGGATCTCGGGTTGAGTTGGACGGCACCGAAAGTTCGAAGTGGTTGGGGGGCCATTATTGCTGGAAGAGGAGAGTCTACAAAAGACCCTGGCCATTCGGATCCTGGCTCCAAGCCACTTCTACGGATTCTTCCTTGTGGCCCTGCCCACGAAGTTCTGAAGAAATTCCAACATCGGACAGTGTACTCAAATGTGGTGAATGATGGGATAGTTCCTTTGCGGACGTCTTCTCTTTTGTTCCTGGACTGGAAGGGTCTGGATCGGGTCGAGAAAGCGAGAAGGGACAATGGACTTGTTGGAACTATGGCCGAATGGGGATGGGCAGAATTAACAGGCGCCAATTCGAAATCCCCGCGAATCCCTCGCATCGATGAGGAACAGCATTTGAGTCTTCCGACAATAGAGACCAGTCATCAAAATGCATATTCTGCAACCCAGGTTTCACCAAGCCCCAAAGACGACATTTTGGACGATCCAATCTCTCCAAGGCCGGGACAATTCTTATCACAGCCCAGTCGTGTGTCCAATCACAGGATTCCAGAGGAGAACTTGGTGAAGGAAAATCACTCGGGAAATGCGCCTTCCAGCCCCCTGGAAAGCTTTTTCTCGCTGTTTCGCCCAAATCAGGGCAAGCATGCCCCCCCTAATAGCAAGAGTGCTAGAATTTATAGGCGTAGCCAGACCCTGGGCACTTTTGAGACTGGCAATGGCAATGGCGATGGCACAATGCCCATTAGTCCTGGAAGTTCCGAGCACGAGCACGAAGGAGTGCACACGCCTCCAAAGACAACATTTTTCGAGTCTGCAGGAGACTTGTTGATGCCGCCTTTACCACCTGCGGATTTCATTCTGGACCCTGCCTCGCGACCCCGGACAATCTTCCACGACCGCATCTATCACCCAGAAGATATCCCAACCCCTTTACCGGTAAAGCGACGCACATTAACATTTGGCTCGCTACCGGGCAAGCAATCGAAATCGATGCCCACTCAGTATCCACCTGCCAGCATCGCAGACAATGAAAGCGGCCTCAAGGTTGAAGAAAAGATTGCGAGAGCCTATCACCGTGATCTAACTTGGCGTAAGGTCCTTGTTCGACTTGAGCCTGATGCCCATAATAACATTATTGTGCGGCGCATGTTCACCAATGCCTATGGCTGGCCTGTTGTGAAACACTTAGTTGATACACACTTCGGCCACACGCCCACTGTGGAAACCGACGATTCTCTGAAGCCAAGTGTGGAGATGGCCAGGTCTCTAAATGTTGATCCGACTAGTTCGGGTGATGAGGTTGAAGGACAGTCCGATCCTGTCGATCCAAATTCAGTAAGAGATACAGACGATTTGCCAAATGTATCCGATCTCCATGTATCGGAACATGTATATTCTGGTCCGAGTGACAGCTTACCGGCCGAAGATAGATCGCACATGAGCACCGGTGACAAAAGCCATGTATCGAGGCAGGATTCAGCACGATGGACTGATCGTGAAGTTGTCGAAGATGACAACGAGTCCGGCTTCGAAGTGGAAGCCGACACTGGTTTCCGTCACAGATAATTAGCGCCATTCTGACTTTCATTGTACATACGATTTCCTTAGACATATACCCTGTAATTATGTAGATTTTATATTTTAATTGGGACTGCTTTTACTCTATGCTGTATTCAAGTAGTTTGGGGGGGGTTCATGGGTCACCTAATCAATACTTCAATTCACCTTGAACGTAGCTCCAAAACTCCTCCACCATCTCCTTTTGTCCAGTTCCGCTCGGAGAAGCTCGGACAGCAAGATACTTTCGTCCGTCAAGACGAGCTTCCCAAACTCCTCGGTTACCATCCACCATAATGCCCCCGGCTTCAGAGAGGATAACCCATCCGGCACAGACATCCCAAGACCAACATCCACCCTCCCAATACAGATCCAGCGTGCCATCAGCCACGGCACATAAATTCAATGCGGCAGAGCCTAAGCTCCGCATGGAGCGTGCCATAGCCCCACCGTTTTCCTTTGACTGGCCCAGTTTCTCATATGTCCGGATCTTAGTCTCCCAATTGTTCCCGCTGCGATCCGAACCCCATTCGATGGCAATGAGAGCATTAGCCAGTCCCGACAGGGGCTCGACATTGTCGCCCTTAAGCGGCAAGCGAGTTTCACGATTGAGGAAAGCGCCTTGTCCTCGAATAGCAGAATAAAGGTTTTTGGTCGAGGGGTTATACACAACCCCCACCGTCGGTATACGTCCAACGGCGAACCCTAGCGAAACACAGGCAAATGGAAAGCCGTGCACGAAGTTTGTTGTTCCATCGATGGGGTCCACGACGAAGGTAGGGGCGTCGGTCAATGGGCTGGCTGGATCGTATGTTTCCTCGCCGTGGAATCTGAGAGAATAAATATTAGAAGCATGCTAGCAGCGCGAAAGAGGAACTACATGCTCGTAATGGGGGTATTTCTCCCTTAGAGAGGTCGAGATCATGTTTTCGACGGCACGGTCGTATTCTGTGACGAGGTCGGCGCCTACGGAGATTAGCTGTTTTCTTCTTTATGCTGTTTGTATGGACACGGACTATTCATTTTGGATCCTGTGTCGCTGGTTCCTGGGAGCGCATTGTTAATAATGTCCCCGGCCTTGAAGGCCAACGAGACTAGGAAGTCATGAATTTCATTGAGGTTTGGGTTCTCCATGATGTGAGCGGTTGAGATATTGAAATGGTAGACTTCAATGTTGAATCCTATAGCTGCACATGTGGTTTAATGAAAGAGATGATCTCCGGCAACGCTAGGGGTGGGGCAATTCTGACTTCTTTCGAAGGAATATATGGAGTAGTAACCTCGACATGTATATTGTAGAAATACTGATTAACTAGAGATACATATGTATGCATTGCTTATTATTGAATGAATGTCTTTATCCTCTAATATTGTTCTATATCCATATGTGTTGTATTACAAATCGCAAAGATCTCTCCAGAACCTAAGTAGTATCTCCGCGTTTCCAGTGACGTCGAAAACCCCCACTTCCGCGGGAGAAAAAAAAATCTTTGAGATTCGACAATTTTGGAATTGACAAACCTCGGACAACACACTCAGGATTCATTCTTTCTGGCTCATAGATTATACTCCACTATGCCGACTGAACTCGAAGAGGTACGTGTCTACAGCCTACGATATCGATTAGCTCTTACTCACATCTTTCTATAGCTGGTGGAATTCCTGCACCATGGCAACACCCAAATCAGACAAATCGGTACGGCAGCTTCTCTCGCCCAAAATATATGATCTAACAGCTCAAAGCTTGCGAAAACCTCGTCGGCTTCTCCACGGCCCAGCCAGACTTGTTCAAGCGCCATCAACTCCTACCCGTCCGCGATTTGAAGCTTCTAGTCCGCGATTACATTGTGCGTTCTTTGCGATCATGGCGGGTCATACTTGACTGATATATTTGGACAGCCAATTGCGAAAAATGCATTGACCATCCTGATCAACTTGTCTAGTGATGAAGAGATATTGAAACTTCTCGCCGAGGATGAGTTTATTGAGGACCTGCTTGCGAAATTGACAGTGAGTTGTCTTGGATATCAATCCTATGGGCAGCAATGGGGCTAATGTGTTTGATCCCAGAATGTCAAGGAGCCCAACGCCGATGAAGTGGCCATGCTTTTGGCCAATCTCGTTAAATCCGAAAACCTAAAGAAGCTGTTATCCCTCAAGCGCAAAGCCCCCGAATCTGTATCTACCTCCGGGAACGCGATCGACCAGTTGATGGACTGCTTTGTGAAGGGTGCCGAGGGTTCTCTCAACAAGCACGCCAATTATGATTACCTGTCGTACGTGTTTGCTGACCTGTCCCAGACGGAAGAGGGCAGGGCATATTTCATCAAACGCCAGGAGTACGATGGGGTGGTCCCCATCACCAAGCTCACAGTCTTCACGGAGCACAAAAGTGATATTCGGAGAAAGGGCATCGCATCCACGATCAAGAACGTGGCCTTTGAAGTCGATTCTCATCCAATGCTCTTTGCCGAGGATGAGGTTAATCTTTTGCCCTATCTGTTGCTCCCGCTTGCAGGTCCAGAGGAGCTGTCGGAAGAGGATACGGCAGACATGCTGCCAGATCTTCAGTTATTGCCCCCCGATAAGCAACGAGATAGCGATACCACCATCATCACGACCCATCTCGAAACCTTGCTTCTCCTGACCACAACTCGGGACGGCCGGGAGAAGATGCGAGCAGTTGGAGTTTACCCTTTGATCCGTGAAACCCATATGCATGTTGAAGATGAGAATGTGACAGAGGCTTGCGACCGGTTAGTGCAGGTCCTGATGCGAGACGAGGAACCCGAAGAGGCCCAAGGGGAGCCCGAACAACCTCAAGTCGAGGCACCTAAAAACGAGGATGAACAGGTTGTAGAACTGTTTTAATGATTAGATACCAAATCAATTGTACATATAGAAGTTAACACATGTATGTATACAACAAATATTGTATAATTGTATATCGTACGGAGTACGGAGTACATACATAGTAACCTTGGAACCTTTGGAAAGGGAAGATAAATCTGCCGATGTCGGGTGGGGCAGCATCCTTGTTCGGGGGGCTTTTCACCACACTACGCTATGACTTTAGACCTCCACTAGCTCTGGTTTTCTCTCTTCTGATTCCTCAATGCCCAGAATCGATCTCGAGCTACTGCACGCCCTAACCTGAAATACTCAAAAGTATTTCATCATTCCCCCCACCATCACGTCGAGCAATATTCCACTGCGGACGCGGAAGCTGTCTTGCCCCTCGGTCCCGAGGCGCAAGTGGCTTCCCGCTGAATCGGATCGAACTGATTCCAATTTTGATGATTGTGCGAGCGACAATGGAAACTACCCCGAAATCGACAATCTACCACCCGACGTGAACCCCGACACAGGGATTGTTCAGCGCTTTCGGGCCTTCATGTCGCGCGCCCCTCTTCTTCGCTCGACGCCCGTCCTGGGTGCTTCCTCTTACGGATCATTGCGAAGCCCAGACGAATCGGAAGAGGATATATCGATTTCGCGTGGTCGGAACGTTCGCGGGGGATTACAACGCGCGAGCTTCGAAAATGGCATTGGAAGTTCTTCCAACGTACCGGGGTCTACTCCGAGGCGATCACATTCCTCTGCCAGACAACGAAACAGCTTCTATGCAGAGAGGGGCAATCGTCGGCCTTCATCCGCTGCGTCAGATGTGGGATTGGGCCCTGATTCGAAATACTCGTTTGCCACGGGATTGGCCATACCGGGCAACCCGGTGAGGCAGGAGACACCGGTGTCTTCGCCATATATGACAAGTGATGATGAAAATGTCCTCGACATTGATGATGATGATTCAAAATCCTCGGGTGAGGATCCTCCAGACAATTCGCCGTACGCCCAAGTACGAGCTTCAGTTCCAGCGACGGATGATATCTCTCTTTCTATTAACAGTAGGCTTTCTTTCTGATGCATTTTTCCTGCTTATATCTAATAGCTTCTAGCACCACGGATGTGGATTCTCTCTTTGTTATTCTCTTTGAGCGGGTCTGCCGCCAATCTTTTCTTTTCCTTGCGCTATCCCAGTGTTGCTATTACCCCAATCATTGCCCTTGTTCTAGTCCACCCACTGGGCAAGTTTTGGGATGTGATTTTCAAACAAACAGGTGACCCTCTCGAGATTTTTGAGAACGGATCCCTTCACCACCGAGAATCACCCTCCGGCGAGATCGAGGCCCTTCCTGTTCCATTGGCATCTCGGGTCAGACTTTGGTTTGCCCAGGGCCGTTGGAACGAGAAGGAGCATGCTTGTGTCTACATTAGCAGCAATGTTTCCTTTGGATTTGCTTTTGCCACCGATGTTAGTACACCAACAAAATATCTGTGACGAAGCTGACCAAGACAGGTTATTGTCGAGCAACATAAATTTTACAACCAAGATGTTCCAATTATGTATCAGCTGCTGCTCATCATATCGACTCAGGTTTTGGGATATGCATTCGCGGGTCTAACTCGACGATTCCTCGTGCGGCCATCGGCTATGATCTGGCCCGGAACCCTGATGTCCACTGCAATGTTCTCTACAATGCACAAGTCTGTCAACAAAAAGGCAAATGGATGGAGTATATCCCGATATAAATTCTTCGTCATTGTGTGGGCAGGGGCGTTTCTCTGGTACTTTGTTCCTGGACTGTTAATGCCTGCTTTAAGTTATTTTAATGTGATCACTTGGTTGGCACCCAAAAACGTTGTGGTCTCCAATTTGGTAAGACACCCAGATCGGTCGTCTTCTACTGCTTTGACTAATTTTTCTAGTTTGGTGTTGCTTCTGGTCTCGGGATGTTCCCCATGACCTTCGATTGGGCTCAGATTGCCTATATTGGCTCCCCATTACTCACCCCTTGGTGGGCTGCAGCTAATATCGTGACGGGACTGGTGATTGTCATCTGGATAGTCGCCCCAATACTTTGTAAGATCTGTCCATCTTATCTCATTTGAATCGGCTGACCAAACGAAGATTACAAAAATGTTCTTTTCTCCGCATATATGCCCATAGTTTCAACAGCAGTATTCGACAATACTGGGCGACCATACAACGTGAGCCGAATCTTGACCACGGATTTTTTGTTCGATGAAAAGGCCTATCAGGATTACTCATCCGTTTATCTCCCAATCACCTATGTGCTGTCCTACGGTGTTCAATTTGCTGCTTTGACATCTCTTGTCACTCACACCATTTGCTGGTATGGGAAGGACATCTGGCATCAGACCAGAAAGTCTTTTGAGGAAAGACGAGAAGTGCCAGCCATGGAGACATACCAGCCCCTGCGCGGAAGCAATGATACGATTCGTCAGAGTTATGATATCCCAAGGACTAGCTCTCATGAACCGAGTCAGGAAGTTCCATTGGGAGGGGATGATGTCCATTGCCGCTTGATGAGGCGCTACAAGGACGCTCCTCTCATGTGGTATCTTCTCGTGCTCATTTCTATGCTGGCCATTGCCATCTTCACAGTGGAATAGTACGTTTTCCTCTCTCTTTGATCTTTGACAGTAGCTGACCCTGGCCCAAAAGTTATCCAACGCACCTACCTTGGTATGGGCTACTCTTGGCCCTTGGTATTACTTGTGTGTTTTTCATCCCAGTGGGCATCATAATGGCCGTCACCAATCAGCATAGCAGCCTCTACCTAATCTGCCAACTCACTTGCGGTATTGTATTCCCAGGAAGGCCTGTAGCGAACATGATTTTCGTGACCTACTCATATATCAGCTCTGCACAAGGGATCAAATTTTCCTCGGACCTCAAACTTGGCCATTACATGAAAATCCCACCACGAATTCTGTTTAGCGTCCAGATGATGGCGACGTTGGTCTCGAGTCTAACCCAAATTGGTGTGCTGAACTGGATGTTCACTTTCGTCCCAGGACTTTGCACCCCGGAGGCCATCAATGGTTTCAATTGTCCCATTGCTCGAGTCCATTTCAACGGCAGCATTCTCTGGGGAGTCGTTGGACCCCAGCGGTTCTTTGGCCCAGGAGGGCTATATCGTCCGCTTGTCTGGGCCTTTTTAGTAGGAGCAGTCGCCCCTCTCGGAGCATGGCTTCTAGGCAGACACAGCAAGAAGAGCTTCTGGCGTAAGGTCAACTTCCCTATACTGTTTGGCAGTCTGAGCTGGATCCCACCTGCAACTGGGCTCAACTTTTCCATCTGGGCCCTTGTATGTTTTGTGTTCAATTATGTGATCCGGAGAAGGAAGACCGCATGGTGGGAAAAATATGCAATGACCTTGTCAGCCGCATTGGATTCTGGCTTGGCATTTGCAGTGGTCGTTGTCTTCTTCGCCTTCATTTACCCTGGCTGGGTCGATAATTTCAAATGGTGGGGGACGGAGATCTATAAACAAGTAAGTCCTTGGTCCTCTGGTCACTTGATGTCTGCTAACTATGTCTTAAGGGCTGTGATTGGATTGCTTGTCCGTATAAACCACTAGAACCAGGCCAACGATTCGGACAGTAGATTTTGCATCAATTCAAAAAGAAATATAGAAATTCCAGTGAAATAATACAAATATTGAAATATATCAGTAAATATGCTACGTACGTCTTGTACCTACATACCAAAATAGAAAATCAAGAATAGTCGGTCACTTATGCGGCATTTATACTTAGATAATCTGAATATGTAGTCAGTTAGCTCAAGAGAATATTGAAGACGGTCAATCACGATGTGTTGATATCCTTCTGTTTTCTATTTCCCTCAGTATTGACTATGACCTGGAAGGCTACCTAAGTAAGTAGCGGTTAGAGCTCACGTACTGGAGTTGGAACCTTCCAAGGAAGTGATCTTAAGTATGTACGTAAAAGAGCCTCCTAGTGCACGGACCACACGACCCGGAGACATCACCTAGTCACGTGCCTCTCATTGGGGCGGGTAAACTTTCGCTCCGAAGTCTACCGTCATACCTCTGGTTCACTGCCTCAGCTCTTTCAAAGTGACCTCCAAGGTTTCCCATCTCTCACTCTTTTTAAATCTGCCCCCCCCCTTGTCGCAAGATAAGCCAGAAAAAAAAAGTTACATTTGTTCCATATTTCTACTCCTGGCGCGATCTGTCGCGTCGCCCTCTACAACTCGTACGACTCTGTTTTGTACGTCGGCAACATGTCGACCCCAACAAATCCCTCGAATGCCCGCACTCCAACTGGGCCAAATGGTGCACCGCTGATGAGGATGCGTCGCCCAAAAGCAGCAGATCCTTTAGTTCGACCGAAGAGAAGGCCTGCTCCCAAACCAGCTGGCGCTATTCCCGCCCGCAATGGAACAGCCACCAAGACTCTTCCCTCACGGCCGCAGATGTCCAACCCCCAGACAATCTTTCCATCCGAGCGACCTATGCTTGAGCTTTCAAACAACCAAATGGCATCAAATGGATTCAGCGGCCCTTTGCTCAGTGATAAATACTTTGATTATCCAGTGGTGACGACAAAGCGAGCGATGATGGAGGGGCTGAAGCACCACATAGCGCGGTTTGCCTCGAAGAAAAGTGTTGACCCACGTGATGAATCACAATTTACCCGACCAGTTCGACTTCACCGCCGCGACCCACGTTCACGAAATCATGATCCAAATTCGGGAAGGACCGAAATCGATGGCCAGCCTATGGATGAAGCTGAACGTGAAGCCTTTGATGCTCGAAAGGCAGCACGCGAAAAAGAGCGCGCTGAGAACCTTTCCCAAATCGCTCCCGCCCTCGGCTCAACCTCGAAAAGACCAAATGCCCCGAAGCAGAAGACGCAGCAGGTTTTCAAGTCGGATATGACCCCCGAAGAGATTGCAAGGGCACGGATCAAGTATGAAGAGGCCTTGCCATGGCATTTGGAGGATTTCGACAACCAGCATACCTGGGTTGGAAACTACGAAGCAGCACTATCTGAAACACATGCAATCTTTATCCTCGAAAACGGAAAGATGAGAATGATTCCGGCTGAGAAGTGGTACAAGTTCAACGCTAAGAGTAACTTTAAGGCTTTGACCATTGATGAAGCAGAGAAATTCATGGCCAAGAGAGTGAAAGACCCTCGATGGTTCATGGAAAAGCAGCAGCAGTTGGAGCAAGAAAAAGAATTGGAAACATACGCTAAGCAGCGCAAAGTCTACGCCGGAAAACAGGGCACAACTTCTGGAAAGGGCGCGGGATTGGAGGCTGGTGAGATGGATTTTGAAGAGGATCGATTTGCCGACGACGAAGAGCATGATGACCTCTTCAATGAGGATGAAGATGCCAAGGATGCCGAAAAGAGGATCAAAGAGGACCAGCTCAAGGCGAATGTGTTCAATCTCAAGGACGAGAAGGAGTATGACGCTGAAGAATTGCGCGAGAAACGTGAACGAGAGGCCCGGCGTGTGTTGGGCAAGGGTGTGCGCAAGGCCCTGAAGAAGAGAGAACGGAACTTTGATTACAGCAGCGGTTCCGACATCAATCCGTACACGGATGAGGAGGTAGATATTCACCTGCCTTCGATAGTAACCCAAAACTAATGTAGACAGAGCTCCGATGACAGCGAAACCGAGCGGGCCAAGGAGGAGGAACGGAAGAAGGCAGAAGAAGAAAAGATCCAGAAAGAGAAAGAAGCGATCTCCTCCAAGGGAACAAATACTCCCTCCGGTCGACCCAAGCATACAGATGCCCTGAAGAAAGTTCCAGCTGCTGGATCTCGGAAAAGACTTGGATCGCCCAACGCTTCCGATGCAAGTGGTACCGATACATCTCGGAAGAAGGCTAAAAACATGCATCTCCCTACGTCTCAACCTCCGTCTCGTCCGATCTCCCCATCTGCTTTGCAGGTATGTACAATCATTCTCCCTTGTTAAATACATACTGATTGATCTAGGGCAAGAAACGCGTGCGAAACGTTCCTGGCGGCGCTGGATCTGGCAGTGATGTCGACACTGGTGTCGGATCTGGAGCTGAAATGACCGAGGGTGGCAAGATCAAGAAATTGAAACTCAACCCCCCTGGTGTGGCTTCTCGTGGTGGAACTCCGCAAGGGTCCCGCGCCGCAAGTCCTTTGCCTCGACTTCCCGGAAGCCGTGCCAACAGCCCCGACGGTCCCAGAGGTGAGTTCCTCTTGAAATCTATTTTAAAAATACAAGACATAAACTAACCACCTGCAGGCCTTCGTGTATCGACCCCTATTTCTGGAAACCAGACTTTCCCGACGGCCGGGGAAATCTATGCAGCCATTCCAGCATCTGGCATCCTCAGCAGCGACCTCTTGAAGGTCTTCCGTCCTCGTATTGGCGAATCCAAAGAGAACCATCGGAGATTCATTGCCATTGTCAAGGATGTCAGTGTTTATGGCAAAGAGGATCGGCTGCTGCGACCAGGTCCCTGGAAGGGGAACTGAGGGTTGCACAAAGTATTCCAAGTTAAAATCAAATGTCGAATACTTTCTATGTTTTCACTTCTTATCTCCTTTCTTATTTCCTATCTTTCACTCACTGTCCAACAAACACTTTGTGACCGGGAATACCTTGACTATGAATATCTTCCGTCAGCGGTCTATCATAGTTGTTCATAAAGACCACCTACCTAATATCATTACCATGAGCAACCTGCTTTTACATAGTATGTACCAATGAACATTCTTACTGATCTTAAACCCTATCCACATTTGATACCCCCACTTGGTGGCCGAAATAAAGAATTGGAAGCAACTGGCACGAACGTATCATCGATTCCTGATCAATGCTCATTAGCGTAGGTTCCCTTTTGCCAGCCTTTCGCCTGGGCCAGGTTGATACTAAATCCGAAAACTCGGTTCGAATCAAAGACGGAACCTTAGGACATGAACAAATCCTGGGTTGAGACCCTGAGCAAGGGGGAAGCCACTCCAGGGCTGTTACCTGGTCAATCATATTAGTTGGTACTAGGGTTTTTTAAGGTTGCATAAGGTTGTATAGGTAAAAGCTTGGAAGGACGTCGGTCGTACTTTCTGTTGACTTTCCTCCTTTCATTTTCGTTTTCTTTCCACTCAGCAATGAAAGCCTGACAATCAGCCCTCAAAATGGTGCCGCTGTTGCTCGTTCATTACGTGGGATTAAAACTCAACTCACCGTCATAATCGCTACAACATTGGATATGACGACTTTGATCCCGATCATATCTACCACCGGGATTATCACACTTGGAAATCAAGTTTCTGGATTTCTCACTGCATCGTCACCACAATTCTTCTCATTGCCGTGCTGGAAATTTTCATTCTGAAAACAAAATTCTGCATGCTATTTAGATTGAATATGATCGAAGAGATACAGGTTACGTCTGATATTTCCTTGAAGCCCTGTTGCGCGATACTTCACCATGAAAACCCTTACCAAGTTTAGTTTCGGACCAAGCAATGCCAGGAATGTCGACACTTTCTGATCACCTCGGTTCTTTTTCAGAAAATCTGATTCTCAAAGACTAACAGACCCTCGTCCATCAAGTCGATACAGGCGAAGGTATTCGTATTCTTGGGGAGAGCCATCAGGCACGATGGCTTCAGAAGATGATTCCCGGCCTGGAGGTGCTTCGTACCCGCCGGGCTTACCCTAGGACAATGAAACGTCATGGCTACAATGATATATGAAGCTACCACGAGTGCCATAAACGGACTGCAACGTGGCAATGGTCGTCAACTCTTCAACCCGGAGGCCACCGAGCACACCAGGGCCCTTAGCAAGAGCCGCGAGAACCGCAATACTTCCCTGTCTTTCGATCGAATTCTCAGAAGATATGTGGCCAGAAACAAAGGCAAAGCCCCTAAAAAGGCAGGCGAGAAGAAACAATTCATCCTCAGCGGGTTCTTTCTAAAAAGCCATGGTTAGGGAGCTGGCGGCCTCGAACACAAGCTTGAAGCATCAGAGATAGGCTGCTTTAACCCAGACCACAAAACTCAGGCCAATGCTAACCCTGAGAACCATGCAAACCACTAGTAGTCAGCAACGCAACTCCCTGCATCAATCACTATCCCGTTTTTGAATCGCCTTTCCTTTTTTAAAGCACAAACTGTCAATCCTTAACTACATGCTCTTTCTACTGCGAAGCAGAGCATGAATTAAATTGAAATGCTCAAATCCGAAACGGTCGTTCTATCCCATATGAGCTATTCATTGAAGAACAAGAATATAAACTGGCACTATGATTTATTTTTTAGATACCCTCCAAGATGTCGGAAATCGATTGCTGGATCTCAACAAAAGAGGTCATCTCTATGTCTCTGCTGCGGGAAATTTGCTGGATTCCTCGCCGGTGGGACGAATCCATCTTTCAGATGCCTTCCAATATCTTTTTGGAATAATTAGCCGCAAATTACAGGGAACAGGTAGTGAGAAAAACATATAAAAATGCCTTTTTCCGTGCATAATAAGCGGCTTAGCTTCTATTATAGATGAATGTACTAGAGTGAAATTGAAGAAAGATGCATTCAACAGAGCACGTAGTGAATTCTATGCCACAATCGATACGCTCAAACAACAGGCAGCCTTCCGACGTCATACAATAATAGTCCACACAACATATTTCCAAGATTTGGTGATCCGTAGCTTCAACTCATCCGTGATACATATGTATGATAGAGATCCAATCCCTCTGCTCTACCACATCAAGCTCAATCATTAGGTTATATAGATGATAGTGACAACATGCCGCTAAATTGACGAGCCCCCTCAACTGGAGAAACCCAGTTTAACCGTCTATCAGTGTATATCTCGATTTCAGGCTTCCGTTCATTCAACATTCCCATGTCATCAAATATTCCTGCCCGGAGGACTGTAAGCTCGTCAGGATCTCCGTTGGAGTTTGTCTTCCGTCCGAAAAGCAGGGTGCCTATTGCTTTTGTTAGATGCTGTCTTCCCCAAACTTAGTATCAGTATAATACATAAAACATACCACAGTCGGGACAGATATAGTTCTCAATAGGATTTCCGCTGTCCGATATTTTGGCCACTGCTTTCGGACTTCCAGAGATCTCCAGTTCTGCGGTCTTGACGATGAAGCTGTAGGTATAGAGTGACCCAGTAAGCTTGCGACAATCGAGACAGTGGCACAGTGCCTGGAATATAAGATTAGCTTGGTTTAACCAAATTTGAATCCTATGGGTTGTAAGATTGTACTTACCGTCGTTAGAGGCTGGCCATGATGTTCAACTCGGACATTGCCGCAGAAACAGCCGCCAACAGCCATTCTTATAGAGTGTTTCGTAATAGTATCTGCTCGAGAAGTGTTTCACAAAGGGTTTAAGAGACATAAGTATGAATATAGGCAACATTCTGACTTGTGACTAAGCACTTGGTGGGGTTCCGGGGGCCTCAACACTCCCTAGGTAAAAGTATTGGGCAAACTTGTTGAGATGAATGCCTACGTCAGTGGTAAGCACTAGCGTGAAGTATACGGAGTACGGAGTACAGAAAAAGGATCCGAGGTGGTCTCTGTGGACTATGGAACTGTGAATCCTTTTTTACATTGTATACTGGACAGAGCTCTTTGTTTATTTGAAGAGAAAGGAAATGAAAAAGAACTAATAAATGTCATCACTCCCATTATAAACACAACGAACCAGGAGACGAAGCTGGTTCGAAATCTAAAAAAAACATAAATCACAATCATTACGTCTCAACCCAAGAGAACATTTAGCCCCTAGGATCTATATGCGAAAGAAAGAAAATGTACCTCTAAAACTGCGAGACAGCAACAGCAACAGCTTGCGAGTCGCTGTGGCTGATGCTAACGCTGACATGCTTGACACCGGCCTGTTTGGCGGCAGCGGCGGCAGCACCGTGAAGCTAGAGATATGTTAGCGTTGTCACCGGGAATCATGGGATAATCATGCACTTACGTTCACAACCGGAGCACCGTTGGCATCAACTCCGATCTCAATATCCTTCAGGGGAGCACCAGCACCCTTGCTGCTGACACCCAATGACTTGAAGACAGCTTCCTTGGCACTCCACCGGCCCGCGAACGAGGACTGTGGGGAGGCAGTCTTGCGGCAGTAATCCTGTTCACTCTTAGTGAAGTTTCGCTCGACGAAGGTCTCGTTCTCAATGTTGACGGAATCGATGTGCTCGACGTCAACACCGACCTTTGAGTTCTTGGCGGCGTTAGCCTTGGCAAGGGACTCGAGGGTCTGGCGAGTGCTTTCGGATTGCTTGGCTTCGGGGGCAGTGGTCGAGTACTTGAGCTCAGAGGTCTTCTTGTCGACAGACACACGGTAGTCGGGGTTCAGGAAGACCTTGCTCTGCTGTTCATCCTCGTAAGGAGCCTTGTTCTTGGCAACGAAGATAGTGTTGTTGATCAGGCCATTGTGGAAGTAGCGGTAAGCCTTCTTCTGGCGAGCCTCGACCTTGGTCTTGTAGGCCTGGTACTGAGCCTGGTCAAGAGTGGCATACAGGTACTTGGGGTGAATACCAATAACCTGAGCACCCTTCTGACCGAAACCGAAAGAGGTGACGGAGAACGCCTTGACACCGTCGGTCTGGATGCTGCGGCTGGGGTAGACAATGTAGTCGAACTTCTCCATGACCTTGTCAACGTTGTCAGCGTTGCGGTTGCCCGGAACGAGACCGCTGTCCAAGACTTGCAAGCAGCCGTTAAACATCCAGGCACCGGCAGCACCCTTGGGGTGACCAGTGAGGTACTTCTGGAAGATACCCATTACTGCATTACCCTTGGTGCGTCCGAGGTGCTTCATCTGTTGACAGATAACATCGGACTCGTTCTTGTCGTTTGCAACAGTCGAGGTACCGTGGAAGGAGGCAACATCAATGTCATCAACGGTGAGACCCCAAGTAGCCATAGCACCACGGAGAGGAGCGATGCGAGAATCTTGCTTCCAGAAGTTGTTACCCAGACTGTATTGGGCATCCTTCTCCTGGCGAATGGCTTCGCGCTCAATGTGCTGAGCACGCTCCTGCATGTACTCGACCTCGTTGAAGGTCTCATCGCTCTGAGCCTTCATGGCATCAGCCTCCTCCTGGAGGTACAGAAGCTCTGATTCTTGCCATTCGTTGATCTGCTTCTTGCGAAGATCCAATTGACGGCGACGGTACTTAATGTCCAACAGAGGGGATGGGAACTTGCCGGGGTTCTCGCGGGCGGTGGTCAGGACACCCTGGCCAGGAGCGGGAACGGACCGTCCGATCTTGTCGGTGGCGGTCGTGGTCAGAGCAATGATACCGTGGATTGGCACACCCATATCGAGAGCAAGCTGTGCAGTCATGATGAGTTGCATACCACAACCCTGGGACTCCATGAAACCAGCGCGAGTGGTGGTAGTGGGTCGTGACATCTCTTGCGGGGTGCGACCGTGGGCAAATTCATCTTCAGCGTTGCTAGTGGCCTTCATGTTGGCGAACTCATAAGAGCCCTCCTCCTGGAAGTCATCGAAACCACCAACGAAGCAAACGCGGGCCTTGCCCTCGACAATAGTCTCGTAACCAATATCCACAGACTCAACAGCCGTGGCACAAGCACCGACGGGAGTCTTAATAGGACCGGTAGAGGACAACAGAAGCATGTTGACCCAGGCGGACATAGTGTTGATGAAGGACTCCTGCAAGATATCCTTTTGCAAGGGCTTGTCCAGGAAACGATCCTTGTACATACCGCGCAAAGCGTGGGTACCACCAATACCCGAGCCAATACAGTTACCAACCTCAGACAGGTGGACATACTTGTAGAACTCGTAAGGGTCGGTGATACCGGCGGAAAGCATAGCCTCAGCAGTGCAGACCAGAACAAAGAGGGTCACAGGATCCACCTGCGAAATAATATCGTCGGGGATACCATAGCGACTGGCGTCCCAGCCTGTAGGCACCTGGCCGGCGACAAGACGATCGAACTGCAATGCCTTAGGGATGAGCATAGTGGCGCCCTTGCAAAGACGGACGGTGTACTCTCCAGACTCGGGGATCTCGAAGATCTCAACCTTGTCTCCATGTTCACGCTTGAATTCTTCGGCTGTCTCCTTAGAAGCCTCGAAAGGTTCGAGGTCCTCCTGGATAACAATTTCTTGAAGAAGCTGCTTCTTCTTAGGATCGTATCCCTTGAACAACTCGGGCTCGATGAGACGGATACCAGTGTGCTCCAAGATATGCTTCTCGTACTTGGATTTGACATCCTTGTCATCAACGGGCTCGTTGGTCTTGGCATCAACCCAGCCAGAGTAGGCCTGGCCCTTGAGGGGACCATTGTGGTGCTTAATCAGACCCATGATCCACGCCATCTCGACGCAGCCCTCCAATGAGAACTTGCCCTTAGACTCCATCTCCCATCGGGTACGGGAGTTACCCCAAGGACCGACTTCAGAGAAACCAGTGACAACGACCACCTTGTCTAGGTTGACCATACCCTTCAGGTTTTCATTAAGCGGCTTGACTTCCTTCTCCCAGTCGGGCAAGTTGGGGAATTCAAACTTGATATTGGCACGGGGCTCCGCAACAACCTTCTTGTAAAGAACTCCACTGTCTTCGCCGTTAACGATCTTGTGCTCAATGGCGGTCTCCTTGATGACAGCCTGGCGGACATCGCTGGTCTCCATGATGTCGGTGCGAAGCTTGGTCATCAGACCCTTGAGGTCCGGAATGAACTGCAGACCACCGTTAAGATCAGCAAAGACTGGATCGAGCTGGCAAAGGTTGACGATGGCCGGAGACATCAGTCCGAGAAGGTTGAAAGCCATCTCCTGCTGGGAGAATGTACGGACGCCAAGCTTCTCAACGCCTTCAGCGACCATATTGTTGCCGCTCATCAGACCAGTACCACGGGTCCAGCCAATGACCGCACCACAGATGGTGAGGTAGTGGCCCCAGTTCTCGGAGTACCAACGGTTGAAGAGAGTCTCCAAAGCAAGCTTGGACTCGGAGTACAAGCCATCATTACCAAAGGTGCCGTGGTTTGGTGACAGGGGCAAGATAACTTGAGCAGGACGAGTTTCAAAGCCATGAGCTTGCTTCTGGGTCTTGACTGAGCCCAAAAGACGGAGCAGGTTGGTCAACATGATACGGTGAGCCAACTCGGACTTGGAATCGATGGAGTCGATCTCGCGGCCGTTCTCGGGGATGGCAGCGAATGGAACGATGAAGTCCAAGTCCCATCCAAGACCCTTCTTGCTGTCGTAGATGTAGTCAACCAAAGCCTCAACATCCTGTTTGCTGCCTTGATTGAACGGCACGACCACAAGCTGGGAACCACGAGCACCGTAGCGGGCGTACATGGCCTGGTAGTACTCGGTTACCTCACGCGAGAAGCGACTGGTGGTGACGATGACCTTCGCACCACCGCTGATCAGACCTTGGAGGACCTCGGCGCCAATAGAACCGGCACCGGCACCGGTCATCAGAACGTTCTTGCCCTGGAAGGTGAGACCATCCTTGGCAGCCGACTCCAACACATTCAGATAGGTGCCAGTCAGCTTCTTGTTGTAGTCCCAGCCGTGCTCTGTCTTCTTCTTCAGGTGCAGGAATGGAATGGTCTCTACTTTGCCAGGGCGGGTGGCAGTGTTGCGTTTGGCAGCACTGCGACCACCCTTCTTGGAGTGACCGTTCTCCTGGGGGATAATTTGGCTCTCGTTCATGCCGAGAGCGTGAACGACGTCCTTGTACAGTGCATCAAACTGGAGCTGCGATGACTTAGAGAGGCGATGTTGCTTACGAATAAGCTTGTAAACACTCTTCAGGTCGTTCTGAACCTTAGTGCGGTTGCTGTACTCAGAGATCGGGCCGCCCTCAGCCATGTGCTTGACGTAGTGCTCCAGCTTGCGAGCGCTGGTGCGAGGAGCTTCCTTGTACCCAATGTTGCCACGGGCATCGATGGTTGTTTGTGGGCCTGTAGGCACAGCGACGTCCTTGTAAACTGGAGCCACCTCCAACACTTCGCGACAGTTCTCGATGAGCTGCTGTCCAAGTTCCTTGGCCAGCTGGTAGGTCTCTCCACGCTCAGTTGGGCAGTTGTCGATGTGGTACTGCATGAAGTCAAGGAGGAGGGGGTTGGAGCGGTTCATAATGCGGATACACTGGCTGACAATTTCGCGGTCGACCACCTGCAGGCGACCAAAGATAATATCATAATACATGCTCAAGGCATCTTGACGAGCCCAGTTCCATGAGGAGTCGTAGACACGGGCCTTCAGCTGATCGAATGATGGCTCAATGCCCGAGGCGTAGATGTCACCGTGCTCTGCTTGC